GGGGCGAATATTTTGTGCTCACTTGGGATTAATTTTAAAAAATATGTGACATTAGATGTGTAAAAGAAATTTATCACCACTTAACCATATGTGTTAAAAAATATTTTGTATCGTTTATATTGTTATTATACAGCTCCGTAAAAACCAACATTTTATTGCGAAGAAAATAAATCATCGTAATTAATCAACGGGAAAGGCAATACAGACAACAGAGAAAGGAAAACAATTTGTGACTTGAAACTGGGAAAAAGGCAACGGAAGCAACCACAACAACAACAACAACAACAACAACAACAGCAGCAACAACAACAGCAGCAAAAAACCCACAACAATAACAACAACAATAACAATATAATAGCACCACCTCAAACAAGAACAGTAACAAACAACAACAACAACAACAACAACAACAACAACAGCAACAACAACAACACCTCAAACAAGAACAGTAACAAACAACAACAACAACAACAACAACAACAACAACAACAACATAACTGTTGTAAAAATGGGAAGAGTACGACTCATTTTGGTACTATTGATGACCTACAGTGTAATATCATTTATCATTACATTTCATTATCCATTTGTTAATAAAACAATCACTTATTTTGTTCATTGTTATTATTAAGAACTGCTTATTATTATTACTATTATTATTATTATTATTATTATTATTATTATTATTATTATTATTATTACAGAGCCACAACAGATGTACTTGGTTTTTCGAAAAAAAAAAATCTGTAGTAAGTAAGCGAAGCGGTTCATTTACCTTGAGGTTTCCGATAGAATCAACAAGTGGTAGTGGTGGTGGTGGTGGTGGTGGTAGTAGACGGTGGTGGGATTCCCTCCATCGGCTAGCTAGCTAGCTGTCCTCTCGTGTAAGTGTAAGCCAGTGTAAGGGCTCCGGGCACCGAGCGAGATGGGGAGGAGTTTGTGGTGGTTCAGTCAGTTGGACGGAGTCGGGGCGCTGAGGTAGCGGTTCTCTCTGTCCGTCCGTACGTCCGTACGTCCGTCGTCCTGCGGCCTCACGGTCGAGTGAAGGGGGGACACACACACAAACACGTACATGCAATGTAGAGGGAGGAAGGGGGAGGAGGGATGGAGGGAGGGTAGGG